CAGAAACTCCAAAAGGGAGGTTGAAATTTCAGTAACAAAACAAACACCAGCCTCTTCGACGTCTTTCGCTGCTAAAGGAATTTTATCCGTGCGTCCAGCCAGTTCCAACCGGCACTTCGCCTCGCGCTTTTTCGTCAGCGCTTGTTGCGCGTGCTGCCATACCTGCCAAACTTTGACGCGCTCGTAAAACACTTCCTGGAAATGGACATCTGCTAACCGGACAATCATTACTGGAGAGTGCTTACCTTGATACTGTCGGCGATACCAACATAATCTCGCACTGTTTCGCAAATGATAAAAAAGTCCTTCTCCGTTTGGTCTTGGTAGTTCAGAGAAACCTTTTCGAGAGTCTCGGCCAACAGAGAAATCGCCCGTGACAAAGATGTGTTCTCCTCACAAGCCGCTAACATCGACAGACTTTTGCAAAATAAATCACAGTTTGCCGCAACCTCTAAATCAGAACGAAGATTGCGATTAATGTCACGTATTTAAACCATGGGAAATTCAAAACAATGCCCATACCAGACATCGGTTCCGTGGGAGTTAATACACTCATAACTTCATCAAACATACATTCGTGGGGTAAACTTTCCTGCTGACTGCTAAGCAGTGAATTAATTAGATGATACCCCGGCTCATTCAACCAAAGTACTAACTGGAAACAAACTATCTGTGACTACTGATGCAATGTTACAATTTGACGTAGTCATACAAAACTTTGACAACTTTGCACAGACCGCTATTTTTCTCTCGTGCTTCTTGAGTATTTTGACTTGCCTGCTGGTTACTTTTTTCAAAAGTACTTCAATTTAGAGCGAAAAAGTTTCGAAATGCTGAACAATACCGAGGGTGGCCGTCAATCTTCACATTTGGGTGTGCATGTCGTAAGATTACGCCTCTCTGAGATCTACCGTATAGCCATGAGGATATTATCCACCTCGGGTTTGCGGTATAAGGTGACATTAAAATAATGAGAGAATGTTATTAAACGCACGGTATCAAAGCTAACCGAGAAGCTTCACAATATTTACTGAACCTGAATCTCATACAACACATCACCCAGTAACGGAACATGAATAGTACCGTGCATGCAAATCGAAAACGAGTTACCTTTGCGATTACACACTAACATTTCCATATCACTGTGAAGTTTTTTCAGCATGTCACTAATCTGCTCGATTTCGTACTGCTTGTCGTTAAACCACTAAATCATAACCAAACGTAAAGTGGACCCGCTGAGTTGACTTTCAACGGTTTTCGCTTACCGCGTCGTTTTCCTCCATTTTGATGGTTATCTTCGACAAGGAATCGCCCATACGTTCAAGAAATTTCTTAACGCTTGCTCCGCTGAACGTCGCCGTTTGAGTTGCTTTCGGCAGCTCCGCTTCGTTCGTGATGAAATCATAGAAATCGATGTCCTGAAATAAAAGCAAACCCAGAAATTCGATCGTTAGAGTATTTCATTAAACTTCAACTGTGCTACAAGAAAATTGAAATACTTCATGTTTGCCAGTGAATTACTTTTAAGGTATATCGGCTGTTCACGCTGGCTATCACCGATCGCACTCATGGCATCCTATGCTGAAAAAGAACATAGCCTACCAAGCTATCCTTTCAGAATTACAGTGATTTGGCCTGCCGCTCTTTAGAAAATTTTATGCCTTCATGAACGGACTTCGTCACAAATGGTTAATCGAGACGCACGGTAACCATTTCTAGATTCACTGGGCTCATTTGTATTTGTGGAAATATCTGGTCACCATCGCAGCCGCAGTTACCGTTCGCTAAATTTTTGGCATGTAAAGTCAGATTCGCTTAATCTTAGCTTAGCGCTGCAAAACAACCCCAAGCTCTAGCACAGAACAAAGAGCAACGAAGATACTGCTAAAGCCGTAGTCTAGCGTCTTATCATCAATTGGTTTACAGCTGCAGCGAGCGGCATTTGCAATTTCCTAATCTAGAAAATACCAAAGATGCTCTGCCGTTCGATACGCAAGCCAACAAAGAAAAAGACAAATTTTTGCATGCCACTATTCATGACTAAGGAGGCCAGCACGTCGAACGCCCACTCTGACGCATACAGCTACTAACCTAGAATGCACGCACGGTATGACATTATGAAACGAAACTGAAAGTAGAAATTAAACTTTGCAGCTACCGTAACAAAACGGTGAAATCATCTTTATAAAGAACAAATGAAATCGATTTCCTTTGTCCCACACTGTTGACTGTCCATTATTCCTGAATGGTTCATGGAAACAGAGAATGCGCACCACTGGGACTAAAATTAAACAAAAGACGGTATCTAACACTATAAATGACAAACGTCACCCATCCAGATAATTTCATGACGCTACTACGTCAATTTCCCATTTTTTTGTAAATTCACCTTGATCATTCATGTTACGCAAATGATGTTGTTTTCTTTAACCCATATCACTTGGCATATGACAAAAAAAGGTAAATAGCATATTAAATAAACCGGCGTAGATACTTGGACGAGAAACGAATCATGCAAAAGAAAAGTCGAGATAATATATGAACAACGACTGCGAAGTCCGCTGTGTTGGGGAGAATGTGAGGAAGAGCACAAATAGGAGGCTTGTTTCAGCATAGAAATTGTTAAGAAAATATCAGCAGTAGCGGAATATAGCGGCACAGTGAAGAACAGCTGTACACGCAACTTAAAGAAAGAGCAAAATTATAAACGCAACAATAAATAAATGAACACTCAAAAATGAAAAGCGGACCCTGCAATCAACTCTGTGCAGCTAAAGCTGCTGTACCATAATAGGCTGTAATAATTCTTTGCACTATAAAGATAAAAATGTTTTGCGAATCATACAGCAGTAAGCCCTGCTAAATGGCGCAACTCAGTAGCAATTTCTGATTCTCATGCGAGTCACATTATCAATCAGAAATCAATCGAACACCAGATGATTACCTGAAACAACAGAGGGTGCATCACGAGTCGTCGTAGGTACCTTTCCAGCGATGCCCTACGACGTTCTAGAAACTCTGCGGCATACGGATCATCTTCGACGGTTCCCTTGGCCATCTTCGTTCTGGTCATTCCTGTAATCAGAATAATGAAAAACAATTAAATCTTTAGTTTGCAACTTTCCTATTACGCTTTTCTGAGGTGCCGGAGGGACAATGTGTCCGCTGGTCAAATACTTGCCCGTCAACTTGTCGTGAAGACCTAGGAAATCACTAAAACGGCGCCATACCGCGTACTCCTTTTTCGAAAATCGGCCTGATTGTACTGCAACCTTTAACGAATGAATGAAATTCGACGTCTACATGACAAACATGTGTTACATACTTTTGTCAAAACTTTAAACGCGATATACGCATTCATTCCTTCGCCTCGCTTTTCATACTTTTCTATTTCAATCGAAATCTGGGGTTCCGTTGATTTTTCAGGCTGAAAGAAAAAATGTAGCTGAATGAAGCGATAGGAAAAAGGTCTAAAGTTTCATGACTGGACAAACATAACTCTGCCAACAAATTAATGCCCTCGTGCACAACGGGGGTAAAGATAAAAAGGTGGCCCAAAAAGAGGTGGCTAAAAATAGAAACAGAAGTGATCCACCAGCGATAAGGTCGCAAAGCTTCAATCTCTCCGAGTCTCACTGCAACCAGATACTTCACGCTTTTCACCAGCCAATAGCCTGTTGTAACTCGCTGCCGTAAAATATCAGGTGAATGTTGTAGGCAACCGTTGATGGTACTTAACGTCCTTGAATGATTTCGAAGCGGCAAAAATAAGGTTGAGTTGCATAGCCGTTCGCTCGACCAGAGGAGACGAAATTCGTTAGGGATGTTCAGGTAACAGGTGGTAACGAACCAACATAAACTTACCTTTTCAGACTCAGAACTGACCGCAGCTTTTGGAGCTGTTGCCGCAGGAGCAGTTTCGCTGAAGAGTGTCAGCATCGCACTGTTGTTAATCGAATCAACATTATTTAGATTGGCAGTTGATACGGTGCTACCTAAATCATCGCAGCATCAGTATGTCGGTCGATCACAGTTTCACGGTTAA